GGAGTCTGCGACGGCTGCTGGGCGGTCTTGGACGCGTGCGGCTTCGCGCTCGGCGGCGGCTCGGCGCTCCAGGCCCAGGCCCTGCGGTGCCTCTGGGCCGACGCGGACGTCATCGAGGCCGCGTCCGACGAGGACCGCGTCGCCTGGCTCGAGCGCGCGGCGCTGAAGTGCTCCGCGGACGCGCGGAGCCCGCTACGGGTGCGCCGCGCCGCGCGGCTCTTCGGCGCCGCGTTCCGCGTCGGCGTCGGCGTCGCGCGCCTCGCGCGCTTAGCGCGGCGCGCGCTCCCGGCGCGGGCGCCGCGGGGGCTCCGGACCGCGGACCTGCGGCGCCGCGGCGCCGCGGCGCTCAAGCATCTGGCGACGGCGGCGCTCGTCGACGAGTTCCGGCGGCCGGGCTCCGACGAGCGGTCCGAGGGCGTCGCGGCCGTGGTCGACGCGGTCCACGACGACGCCGACGACGCCGACGGCGCCGTGCGCGGGGCGCTCGCCGGCGCGCTCGTGCAGGCGCTCGCGCGCGGCGACGACGCGCTCCGCGCGCGCGTCGCGCGCCAGCTCCGGTCCGCGAAGTTCGCGGAGGCGACGGCGCTCGCGATTTTGGGCTCGGGCGGCGGCGACGACGGGTCGGGCTGCGACAGCGACGAGACCGACGACGACGCGGGCCCGTTGATCTCGTCGAAGACGCCCCACGGGCCGCGCGCGCCGCCGGAAGACCCGACGCCCGCGCCGCTCATGGCGCTCCGCGCGGCCGCGCTCGAGCTCGCGCTCTGGCAGTACGTCGCCGCGGAGCGGTCGTTGCGCCTCGCGCTCCAGCGGGCCAAGGCCGACGTCGGCCCCGACGACGGCGACGGCGACGACGGTTTGGGCGCGTCGCGGCGCGTCGCGGAGTGCGCGCGCGCGATCCACACGTTCCGCGCGTCCGCGCTGCGGTCCGTCGCGACGCTCGCGACCTTCGCCGCGTCGGCGCTGGACGCCGGCGCCTGGCGCTTCGGCGGCGAGGCGGACGCGGAGCGGTTCCTGGACGTGCTCGGCGTCGACCTCGTCCGCCTCCCCGACGGCGGCGACGACGCGCCGCGGCGCGCCGCGGGCGCGCCGCGCCTCGCCTGCCCGCCCCTCTGGCTCGCGTTACCGTTCGTCGCCGCCCTGTCGAGGCACTGCCCCCGCGCGTGCTGCGAGCGCGTCGTCGCGGCCGTCTGCGTCCGCGTGAAGTCGCACGAGCCGACGCTCGTCGACGTCGCGGAGCTCGAGCCGTGGTACGGCGTCGGGTCCCTCGTGCGCCTCGCGCGCTGCGGCTACGACACCGTGGAGCTCCTCGCTTTGGACGCCGTCGGCGCCGTCGTGCTCCGGCGGCGGTCCGCGGCGTCGCCCGACGACTTCGACGGCGCGGTGTCGCGCGACGCCGCGGGCTTCGAGAACAGCTACGACGTCGACGGCCGCGCGCTCGCCCAGCTCACGGCCCTGCTCGGCGCCCGGGAGCCCCGCGTATCGCCCGCGGCGCCGCGGCTCGGCGACCGCTGGGCGCGCGCGGCGTTCTGCGCCGTCGCCGCGTCCGCGTTCCGGCGGCTCGCGGCGGACGCGACGCGCCACGAGCGCGCGACCTGCGACTGCGTGGCCCGCCTCCTCGCCGTGGCGCTGGACTGCGTCTGGCCGCCGCCGGCCGACGACGGCGCGCACGACGCCGGCGACGACGGCGACGCGGGCGCGGCGCTCGCCGAGGCCGTCACGGAGGTCGCGCGGAGCCTGCGGCGCGCGAGCGACCGGCGCCGCGCGGACGCGCCCTTCCCGAACGACCCGCCGCCGCCGCCGGGCGGCGACT